AGCAATATTTAATATATTGAATAAAAATAGTAATTGAGAATTCAAGGAACGCAGGGTGTGGCAGAATATTCTCACGTTTCTTGCTCACTCATTGGTTCTTCGGCGTTGTTATTGGCTCATGCCGCAATCTCGTTTGCTGTGGAGTGATAATAAGATTGTCACGACCCTCCCGACCCTGCGTCTTTTAAACGGAGTGGCTTTAATCAGAATCTATTAAATAATAGCCTTGACAAACTGTGTCGTTTTTGTTTTGTTTTATTTCAGGAGGAGGAATCGTCTTGGGGCGTCCGCAGTACTCCATACCATAAAAACTATCAATTGTTGAAGAAAAAACTTCTGAAACACGTTCAATAAACATGAATTTCCACATCACAGCCTTGTCTGTTTTCCTCGAATAATATTTTGTCGGCCTTGTTTTCAACCAGGCTTATATTACTAGCTTGGGTTCGCTTTTTAAAGTGACTATATATTCATATGTAAGGGTAGGACATTATTTGTGTAAGTTTAAGACTGCCACCACGCGGCCAAGGTGAACGTCTTAGAAGGGTCTATTTTATGCGCTTTGACTTTACACACTCACCTTAAAATATCGCGGTTGGCCTACCACACAGTGTTTTCTGGAAGTTAAGAGCTTTCGGATACACTCTAAAAAAAAATCCTGTGCGTCTACTTTCCCGCACAGCACTGGGAGAGCCAGTCACTGCAACTTTCGGAGGCAGCTCAACGAATGACGATGCCGGAGCATAAGTTAAGACCGAAAAACGCAGTCTTTGTTGTGACATTAAGCAATGCAAAACGTCACGCTTGCATCGCTTAATGTCACAACTCAAACTACGTTTTTTTGGTCTAAACCTATGATTCGGCTGCGCCATTCGCTGAGCTGCCTCCGTAAGTTGCGGTGATTGGTTCTCGGAGTGTTGTGAAGGAAAGCAGACGCACGTGAGTTTTTTTTTTTTTTTTCTTTTTATTGTGTACGGGATTTGCGTTGAGTCCAGAACTCTAGAATATGTGAATTGAAAATGGAGAAACAGCCATGTATCTGTAATAAAGTTTCCTTAACTTAGAGTCTGGTAATTTTTTCGACTGTCTTGTTATATACGTTTCTTGTATGCTTAACACATTTTTAGTAAAGAGATCGCTGAAGACACAGTAAGCCGGTTTATCCAGGTGGGATATACGGCCAGGGGCACAACATATAATGTACAAATAGTCACGCTAAGCTAAATATTTATTTAGCCTTTGTTAATTTGCTTTTTAATTAGTGAAAATAGACATGAGGTTCCTACGGGAAACGTGCTCTGCGACGTTCAGAATTATGTAATCAGTATTTTTTAGAAAGAATGATCACATTGGAAGCGGAATAGTGCGCTCAAGATATTACTAGTGCAACAGACAGAAAGCGGACGGTGAGGCAATGCGGATGATAAGATTCCAAAAAACCGCGCGGTCACGTTATCGCATTCCCATTTTTGCACCTGCTGCATGAGTGGCAACTTCAGTGCTCCACCGAGCTTCCTACGTCTTTATTATTTTAACGACGCTCACCAAGTTTCTTTTTGTAACAATCTATGTGTATTTTCCCGAACTCAGAGTATTTTAGATTTTTTAGTTAATTAGCCGACTTATCGTAACCCTAAGCCCCCTATATTATTTAAGCTTGGCCGCATAAGTCACCTGCACAAACTGTATACGCATAGCTCTCACGACTTTTTCTACACGAATCTGTAAAGCCTAAAATATTACACCACGTATCGGCTGATCCTCTGAAACTCTTCTTAACAGAAGGATGACCGACATAACGTTCTTGCATAGTGTCGTCAAAATAGTTTTTTTTTTTTTTTTTCATCGCTAATAGACTGTGCGTGTCTCGAGGGCCTAGTCGTTTTGGCTTTGGCTGGCTTTCTTACCCACATAATTATGTTTACACCCTACCTCACCCTTCATCTGTTCTGCAACTCATTTACTATAATTTAAGGTATACTCACTCGTTTTTCACTAGTTTTTCTTTGTTAATATAGCATATATCGGCATCGTATCGACGTTTGTATATCACGCTGTCGTGTTAAGTTTCCTTATTTGGCTTATTAGGTTTTATTGCTAGTTTTCTTTTTTCTTCCCGTTTTTTTTCCCACGACTCCCAGCACCACTCAGACGAGTAACAAAAGCCCCCTTAATTATACCTACTACCTTACGAAGAAACACACGACAAAAAAAATGAAAGCCATTTACGACTCCCTGTAATACCGAATTGGAGCACATCTCTTGAGGAGGAGGAGGAGGGAAGGGTACTGAGGGGAGGGTATACCCTTCCTCCCTCCTCCTCCCTCGTGATCCTGCCTGCTACTCCTGAACGAAAGGGCTTCGGTTCGAATCCGGCCGAGGGACAAGAGATAAAAGTCTGTTAAAATCATTTTTCGGAGTTATGAGACAGAGAGAGAGAGAGAAAACCTTTATTTTCGCTCCGAGTCCGGAGCTCCTCGGAGTAATGAAAATTCGATTCGTCCTCCCTGCTCATCCTTCTTGCAAATACTTTACGAGGGGGAATACAGGACACTCCCCGCAAATACAATGGACTCGGGGACGACAGGTTTTGAGCGCTTTGAATGGGTGGATGTGTCATGGCGTTGCGGTTTTCCCCTTTAGGATCGGATGGTGACTAGCGCCGTCTCTCGGTGCAGGATATTTTACCACCGGCCGAACTTCTTACGGTGTGTGCACGCTCTTCGGTCGCGGCGGCGTAGGTCGTCTGTTGAATTTAAAAACCAACGGACACTTCATTGGTGACTAATTTTAAGGGCGCGTATACGTAGGATGAGCTCTATGTCTACGTTGTGTTACATAAACCGCACGCCCATCAGCGAGTATCGAAATTTGTACGGGCGGCTTTGAAAGATGTTCCAATAAGTGTGGTTAGTCGTAATCGCACTTCAAAGCAGTACGGAGCAAGTAATATTAAGGAACCATGTCGACACAAGAAGCACGTTTAGCAGGCACATCAATGTATTGTCATGTACTTCACAGCAAAGTATTTGCTACTATGATTATCGCTAAGATGCCCGAGAAGGCACTTTCAGTAAACGACCCTATTTTCGCGATCTGGGTATGTCGAGAATTTTTCGAAGTGATGGTTTCGGGAACGTCTGGCTGGCGCAAACTTCTGATATCAGGAGTGGGGTTCTGTGTATTAGATACGAGACGGTTCAATCGTGTGATCCCTTTCTCGCTATTTTCAAAATGCGAGTAGGTAGGTGGTGTTTTGCAGCAGCCCAATGCAACAGAAAGAAAAATATTCAGAAAGTTGGGAATAATTTTTTATTATTACGCGGATAGTCAACATTTTTCCTAATAGACCATGCTGGCCTTGAACAAAGTTGGTTTGGATTATTTTAGCATTTCTACAATGTTAATTGAAGGTGCGAAATCAGATTTTATTCATATATGTCATTCGCCAATTCTTTTTTGTTGAACAATATTTATTGCACATTGAACAAATACGTACAGCTTTGCATTCTAAAAACACATATCTCTGCTTACACAGACAATAACGCTTTGAGCAAATATATACAGCTCAGCATTCAACAGACACGGATATATATATTTTACACACAAATTTGGAATTAGGTCAGCATGAGAAACGCGACGCCGAAGTTGTTTACTTACGTGATTGGATCTGGAGAGAACCGAAAGAATGACAGGTTTTTGCCCTGCAAGGTCCGGTTCTTGCAGCGGAGAACGGAGCACAAGGTCCCTCTTGCCATTTTCACGGATTCTTTACAGCGGCGAACGCGTCATACTAGGTGCACTACAAAAGGAATCTGTAGCGTGTCATCCGTCGAGAAGGACGCTGGCATCAACATGCAGTGACAGGTCGTGCAATGGTGGCCGCTGATAGTCGTCTCGCCCGGCCTAGCCAAAACGCCTAGCCCGGCGCCCGCGTGTTCGCCCGCGTGTTCGCCCGCCCGGGTTTGGCATCGTCGGTGACGCATATCAGGTCACGTGTTCTGGCGGGAGGAGGAAATGTGAGAGGAGGGGAGAGAAAATAGAGAGAGGGACACTCCCAAATTATCCCGCACCACCAGGGGAGGAATCGGCGCGGCCATCGCTCCGTCTAATGCAAATGAGCGGAGTGTCCTGTATTCCCCCTAGTAAAGTATTTGCTTCTTGCTCCCCTCCTTTCTCCTCCTCCACTCACGGGGGTCACGTGATCTGGGGGGGAGGGGAGGGGGTCACGTGACCGAAAGTGTCGCGTGACCTAGGGAGGTCACGTGACATGGGGGGTCACGCTACCTGGGAAGTCACGTGATCTGGAGGCCACGTAACCCAGGGGTCACGTGACCTGGGGTACACGTGACAAGGGAGTCACGTGACCTGGGGGAGTCGCGTGACAGGGGGAGGTCATGTGACCTGGGGGTCAGATGACCAGGGCCCGTTTGCTCGAAGCTGGTTAACTCTAACCGCGGTTAAAAGTTAAGAAGAGTGGTTGTTTGGGCGAGTTGGTTTGGCATCTTATACAATCTTGTGCGCAACAAAGACGAGGACAAAAGGAGAGAAGAGGACACAACAAGGCGCCTTGTGCGCCTTGTTGTGTCCTCTTCTCTCCTTTTGTCCTCGTCTTTGTTGCGCACAAGATTGTATAAGTTAAAAGTTAACCGCGTTTCCCTACCTAGGTACATCCGAGTACCTAGCCGCGTTCGACAAAAACTCAACGCACAATTTCTCCGTGTTTTATTATTATGCGGTAGCTCCCGCCACCTTCCGGTCGAAGCAAACAATAGCCTTTTAAGAAACGTTTTTGCTAGTTTTGTCTTTATTAAGAAAAATAAAAACAACATCGTATCACAATGTTTCTTTTTATGCATGAAAATATATATGTACTTTAAAAAAATAATAAATATCTTGATGCATCTATTGTGCCGCCAAACACAGCATAAGTTTGCAGCGTTGATTTCGGGTCTGGCAACGGTGTTTATAGATTCGTTGTTTTTGGTTGTTTTGTTCTCCGTGTTTTGCGACGCACGTTTCCCGCGCTTTAGTTATCACCTGATTTTCACTGTTTGTCTTCTCCTGCCGTTTGCCCAACCGACCCTCCGACTCGCTCGCCGACTGACTACCGGACTGACTGACAACTGATTTGCGGACGGATTGGTGAAGATAAGGGACGCAATGTCGACTGTGACGCGACGCCGACATCGAAGAGAGCGCGTGTTCGCCCAGTACGCTGTTGTGATGATGGGACGGCAGCGTGTGTTCCGTGACCGCTTGAACCCTTTGGAGGAGTTCGATGAGGACGAACTGCAGGAGCGCTTTCGATTCGGTCGCGCGGGCATTGTGTTCCTCGCCGACACACTGCGCCCGGACTTGGAGCGGCCGACGCGTCGCAGCCGCGCCCTCTCTGCAGAGCAGCAGGTCATTGTCGCCTTACAGTTCTACGCCACGGGGAACTTCCTCATCACCGCAGGGGACTACATCCGTGTGCACGTCTCCACTGCTTCGCGGACTGTGAGGCGGGTGACTCAGGCCTTGGCACGTCGTGCCCGAGACTTCATAGGGTAAGTGGTCTGGAGCATCTCTGGTGCGTCCCGATATTAGGCGCATGTGCAGGCCAGTTTTCCGAGAAAAAAAGCCTGGGCCTAGATTGCTCGATGAGCAATCACCATTATTTCAGAAACCCTTTGTATAGAAATTTCGGTGCGTGAATTGTGTTCGCTGAAACCCCCGAATTCGTTAAAGGTGGTCTTCTCCGCACACCTATTCTGCAATTTATTTACGGCGCACCACCTGCGCAATGACCCTTTCGTTTTTGTTTCCTAAGCTGTAGGCTTGCTAGCCTGAATATCTGCCAGCGCATCGATCCCCACGTATACTGGTACCTCCCTAAAGGATCATTAAAAGTGTTGCTTCAGCACTCGATATTTGTTTTTTGGTAATGAGCGTGACATGCAGACCAGTGAACTGGGCAGTAAAATTACACGAACCAACTGGAGTGTACAAAATGACTCCCTTAGTACCTATTATTGGTGCAGGTGCAAATTCAACTAATCTACAAATAAAGTAGGAGTGCCGACATTTACAAACAGCCTGGTTTCTGCACTCCCAACTATGCACTTGTTGCTACTGAGCTAGTCTTGCGGCTACTGAGTACTGTCATTGTGCAGACGAGGCTTTTATTGCTCACTATTGATGACGATGAATGATAGCTGTGTTATTTTGAAGCATGTGATCCCCTATTGAAAATTCCATCAAGGTACGTAATTTGGGACACTGACTGCCAGTCAGCAGCCCTGGTGGAACGTGCCCTGATGGTCCATCAGACGACGTCTGACTGCCACTGATGGAATGTCCCAAATTACGTATGTGGTGGTCTTTGATGGAACGTACTGTGGTGGTCTTTGATGGAACGTATTGTGGTGGTCTTTGATGGAACGTATTGCGGTGGTCTTTGATGGAACATATTTGATGGAAGGTGTGATTGTGATCACTGCTGAGCTGATAGGATAGCCTAACCAAATTGCAGCGTTGCCAGAGAAACTATTACATACTTTCGACTGCCATAGGATCACTGCAAGTTAACTTCAAGGAGAACAGCCAATAAAATGACAAGTAAATGCAAAATCAAACCTGTTGTATCTTTATTAGGTCACAGAAAACGCCTGCCTTGAGCGATGCTCAATCTGAAAAGGTAAAACAAACAGCACAGTTAGAATAAATTAAGTTAAAGCAAGTGGTAACTGCAATGGTGGAACTGACAAATGGTGATTTGGAGCTCTTGTAGCAGGCAAAAACTGGTTTTGGGGCAGACAATGCAGAAGTTCAAAAATGCTATAACAACTTGGAACCTAATGCTGGAGCTGAGGGCTTCTCAGCAATGGTGACAGCTGCTCATATTGAATTCGAACAAGGGAATAAGTGTGTACCCGTCCTTATTTCTTGTTTTTTTCTTTCACTTTTGAAATTTGATTTTTTAGGCAACAGGGACATACCTTCACAAACGGGCCCACGTGCACCCAAAGCATGTTTCAGGGAAACGCCCTCGATGTCTGAACCTTTCGGGACGACCGTATACTTTAATTCACAAAACGTATGCGACTCAGCTGAAGCTAGAGAGCAAGCATGCATGCTACGACAGGCAGTCCCTTGCTTCCACGGATGAACACGAGCAGCAGACATATCTGAACTATGCTCACGGATGCTTTTTGTCTGCGCTCTTCATGAAACAATAATAATGAGCTGCGACATAGCGGTAATGCCAATAGCCCATCTGTAAAAAAATTTGCCTCTTTTATGGAGAAATTCTCTGGCACCTATGCTGCCGGAAAGGTCATTTGTAATTCTAATAACGGGAAAATCCTTTTAAACATATACACTATCCGTAAATAAAAGGACATTCCGCAAAACAGATTACGGAAAGTGCTCTACTATCCTTAACGCTATTCAAGAGCTGTCCATAAAACAACGGACTGGAATATGCATTCCGTAAAACCTATTACGGAAATCGCTCTAGTATCCGTAAAAGTGCTTAAACGTTGTCGGTAAAAGGGCAAACAGAGTAGGCTTTCCGTAACTTATATTACGGAAAGCACTCTTGAGTATCCGTAATCCTATGCGGAGCACAAGTTTGTCTGCTTCTTGCACAGGGGTTGCGGTAATGTCAGAAGGCCGAGCTCTTATTGGCTGATTGAACAAAAAAAATAGTGCGTAGACCTCATGGTGTCTAGCATTGTGGTCTACCCACTATATCCTTCCAATTAAAGCCAATGAGAGATCGTCACCCTTCTCACATCACCGTAATGTCTGTGCAAAAGCAGACGACTTACTCTCCGCATAGGGCGGTGTCCATAGAAAGGAAGGCTGTAAAATGAGCGAGAAGAATTAATGCCTTCATCTAGCAAGCTGAACTTATCAAAGGTTTTCTTTTTGAGACACAGATTCCCATGAAAACGTTTAAGGTGCAACTCCAGTCTGTGAAAAATAGAACTACATTATTTAAATTTGACAATGGGCACCAATGTATACAATCGCGAGCTGCCACAACCTGTTGTGGAAAGCAGGCAACACAGCTGAGCAATGCATCTGCAGCAAGTTTTCTCAATGTCAGTTGTTTTTTCTTCTGTCAGTTCTGGCATTCAGATCAATATGCAGAATTATAGAAGGTAGTGGGATTACAAAACATTATCTGTAGTCTGACTGACCACCCCAGTCATTGCATTTTTAAACAGCGATATAAAGCACCTTCTCGGCAACACCAAACGTTACTCTCACTCATCTGCGTCGGCACTCATGCTTGAAAATAAAGAGAATGCTGTTTTCACATTCTACAGAGACTGAGCTGTGCCTTTACATGTCACAATGGTGTTCACTGCTAAAATAGACCTTTGGTAAGAAAATGAGCTCAATGCTTGTAGGTACAGATTTCTCCAGTTCATTTAACAGCCAGTCCCTTAGTGATGCTGCCCTATACATAAAGTAATGTTCATTATGACGCTGATACAACCAGGTTTTCTATAAAAAAAAAGTTACAGAATTTTGAATTGGAAAAGGATCTCTTTAAACGAATACTGAGTACTCTTTCCTATGCTGCTTGCAGCAATCATGCAATGTCACCTGAATAATTAATGAGAAAATAAGAAAAGTACCTTCGAACACTTTATGTGGGTCCTCGAAGAGCCAAAGTAGAGCCCCCCGTGGTGTTTGGCCTTTGTTTTCAGATGCTGCATGCAGCATGATGTGCTAAAGAGAAAACAGAGAAAAAATAATTAAATATCTATATCAGATGCAAATTGAGCTTGTGCATAAAACACAGCCCCCTCAGTCCATTTAATTATTAGCCATGAATCTTATACAAAAGTGAAATGGACATTGCCTCTAATTGTTCATCCTGTGACCCGATATCTAAAACCAATGTTTGACTTGAGGGTCTTGTTCTCCCGTTCCTTAGTCAAAACCGATACACTTCAAGCCTAAATTCGTTCGAAACTTAGAAAAAAATGCAAGGCTGGAATTGCAATAGTGATTTGGTTTATAATGTGAAGCATTTCTTGAGAACTGATGAACCAACCGGAAAACTCGATTCAGTTTGAGTAATGCTTTATTTCTAAGGTTCATGAGATGTTGCAGAAGAGTCTATGTAAAACTGGCTAAGCTCATATCCCAGACTTTCATAAGTTTGGGCAGCCACTCAAAATCTCCCATTAGAACGAAGGGCTAGTTGCACTCTTTCTCGTTGTCGAATCAGGTGGTCAGCCTCGAGTGCTTAGAGTGTGTGAACATAGAAACTTGATTTTCTCTTTAGATATCCCTGAAGGTTTTCACAGAACTGAGCGGGTGAAAGAGTGCATGTGTACTAAAACTGCTATCAAAAACTGGGGACTAAGCAGTAGCTTAGTCCATAGTCCCCAATCTTACAATTTGGGAGCTTCATCCTACCCACGTTTGAGCACACCTGTGCACACGCTCTTGAGTTGAGCGAGTGGTAAAAATTTAGAGTATTTATATATGGCATGCAAGTCTGTTCGCAAGCTCCACACTTAGTGCACCTGATTACCCCCAAAATGTGATCTAGCCATTCCCTTTGCCCCAAGTGCCTACCACTCGAGGAGCTTGCTTGGCCACCTCGTCAGCGCATTCCGGCTGCGCATTTCTTTTGTTGCCCGTTGAAAGGCGGACCCTTCTTCATAATTTTCTCTGAGAGACTGTTCCGATGTGTGCGAACGATGCATTTTGGTGTACCTGCATGCCATATACTCCAATTTACAAGTTGGATTTGGAGCTGACAAAAGCATAGGGTCAGATGCACGATTTTAAAAAGCTTTCTCTCTGCGTGAGCGCTCGTACAAACCAAGCTGTCATCATGCGCCTCTGCCGTTGCCTGTGCTAGAGTCAAATCGGTCACACAAACCATAAAACAGACCAACCGACTAATGAAAAGTGACAAAAATGTTCGCCCACAAATGCCGTCGAATTTAAAGTGAAAATAGGTCAAGCCGAGACGAGCAACCCATAAAAAAAAGGTACCATGAAACTTTCATTACACCAGTTATTTTATATCTACAAGAAATAAATATGTGAAGCCAACCGCATAAAATTAATTTATAGAGACCATATCGGATCTGCACAGGTGAGGAAAAAGCCAATCTTGTGGAAGGCCTTCTTAATAACTGTGGCCTTTGATCTAGCGAAGCTGTACAAGTTAGGATAGAATAAATGTTAGACACAGATTTTTCTCCATACATTGTGGACAAATAGGCATCCGACTATGACTGTGGAGGGGAGGGGGACACAGGCAGCAGCTGCATCTTTCTTCTGCGTGCACCTCGACCAAGTCGTATTAATTTGGGTTGCGGGGACCGGTACCTGCATGTCTTGGCACAGAAGTCCGCCGAGCACAGCGATTTCTGTGCCAAGACATGAAGGCCACAAGACATTTTTCAAAGAATTGGGCAGCTAGCAGGACTAGTGGGCAGCGAAACCACTGCCACCCACTGTGAGAAAAACCCTGGTTAGATGTGATCAATATTGTTTAAACAGTTTTCAGAAGGGTGCTGTCAGTCAC